CGAATTGCTCTGCTGCTGCTATCTGTTTTTAGTTTCAATAATCCGTTTGAATTTGTCCAGTATCTCGATCAAATGCATCTTCTCGCTAAACTTTTTTTTCATAGTCGCTCCTTGTAATTTATAATATCAAATTTGGGTGTACATATGTTTTTGTGAAATACTGTGATAGTTGAAATTGATAGACGTAATCTACAACCAGCAGAGCATTTCGGTGAAACTGGTTGCCTATACTCAATTTTTACTCCCCTGTGATTCCGCTGTAATTAGAGGAATCAACCAAATTATTATTTTGCATTGTTTATTGATATTTAGCACGAATAAATAGATAAGGCTAACTTAGTTCTTCCCTTGAAAGCTCCTCAAGGAAGCGTCATTGTTCCACGGAGATATCTGATATCCATTGTTTCCAAGCCCAAGTCCTCAAGCCTCAAGGAAGGTCTATAAATCTGACTGAGCCTTAGGGGTGTTCCACAATACGTATCGCTACCTATTAGATAGTTATAGATATAGTTGGCGTTCATGCAGGAAGCTTTTCTGATGTGATCCCGCCATGGTATAACTAAATTTATCCTGGTTTGAGCAAAAGGAGCCAGAAGCAGTGAATTTTGTATCACAAGGTGCTTCGTATTATATGAATACTTATTATTGTATATATTTGCGCCTAGTCGGATAACTGGGTTAAGGTGGTTTTGAGGTAAGTCACCTGACGCGACACCTGAAAATGTAGTAATTGGTTAAGTGCTAAGAGACATCCTTTGTCCGGGGTCCAAGGTAGGAAATAACTAAACTGAATCCAAATTCAAGACGAGATGTAAATAATAACAGTTAGCGCGTGATCTCTCGGTAACAGGTGGGGACAACGCCTCTCATTGGTCAATTCGCCATTAAATTTCAAGTGGTCGCCTGGCGGAATAATGCGCGGGGCAGGGGCAGGGCAGACAGAGTTGCATTCAGGCCACCGACCGTCGCGTGTATCACTGCGTGCTCGTGTTTTCGTATTCACCTTGCTTGGTTGTTGCTGTTGTTGTTGTTAAGTGTATTTGAGTAATTTGTTAAGTTTCTGTTTGTTATTGTTATTCCTCGTTATTATTTGTTTTGAACCAATCCTGAACATGTCCAGTACAGATACTGCTGACGAGGCTGTAGGCTACTCCCTTAGCCCTCCTAGAAAGCGATGAAAAAAAAAGACATCTTAGCGTAGACATGAAAGACGTCATATTGAATACATTCAAGATAGAGCGGAAGGAAGACGAAACATCAACTAACCCGAAAATAGCTCTGAAAGTGGCAGATAAAATTGGGGTATGCCAAGCGACAGTGTAGAATGTTTTGAATGAACATAAGAAAAAGCATGCCTTTTCCAAGCCAATGACGGGTAAAAATCGCAAAAGTATCATAAGATCGTTGGATGACGCTGACAAGCATGCGATTCGGAGGAACGTGCACGAGTTCTTCTTCAGAAACGAAATACCGACAGTTGATAAAGTACTACGGGAGGTTAACGAGGATGCTATCTTACCAAATTTCAAACGTTCGACTATTCATAAACTTTTGAAGCATCTTAAGTTCGAATGGAAGAAACGAGGTCGTAACAGCTTACTTATGGATAGAGAAGAAATTGTTCTGTGGAGGAGAGAGTACCTGACCAAAATTAAATCATTGAGGGATCAGCACAGGAAGATCTATTACCTGGACGAAACCTGGATTAACGCTGGGCACACTACTCCGAAGGTATGGGTTGACAAAACTGTGACTTCATCCAGAAGGACATTTCTAGATGGACTGTCGACCGGATTGAAAAATCCAGTAGGTAAATAGATCGAAGTAGTTCACGGTATCAATTTTTGCTCACAATATCTCTCTATCTTCGTACCTACAAGACGTGCATGTGTACTTAGCGGATTTTATCTTTCTAGGCAAAGGAAAAAGGCTCATTATTTGCCACATTGGGGGTGTAGATGGCTTCGTGGATGACGGCTTATGGTCTTTTGAGTAAAAAAAACCACTGACTACCATGAAGAGATGAATGGGGAAGCATTCGAGAAGTGGTTTTCATGCATTTTACCACGTCTCGAAGACAATTCTGTGGTTGTTTTGGATAATGCTCCCTATCATTCTCGCAAAATAGAAAAAATCCCAACTTCAGCTTCCAGGAAATCAGACATTCAGAGCTGGCTCCGTTCCAAAAATATAACTTTCGACCCTTCCTTACTGAAATTACAACTATTAGATATTGTGAAACAACACAGACCAAGACATGATAAATATGTCATAGATGAAATGGCCAAAGCACACCACAAAACAGTACTACTCCGTTTGCCGCCTTACCACTGTGAGCTCAACCCCATTGAGCTCATATGGGCAGATGTTAAGAATTTTGTTGCTGCACACAATACAACATTTAAATTTTCTGACATGCAAGAGCTGTTCAGAATTGCTATACAGAGGGTCACACCAGAAAGATGGCAAAAATGTGTGCAGCATGTTCAGGAGAAAGTGGAGGTAGCAATGTGGGAGCTGGACAACATAATTGAGAGAGATTTTAAATCCATCATCATAAACATTAATGACGATAGCTCTTCAAGTGAGTCTGAGTAAGTTTCGCGTTTTTGTTTTGTCACAGAATACATATTATGGGAATCCTAGTTATAGTGAAATATTAACTTACAGATAAACTACAGACAATGCAAGTCCGAAGTGCACCTTCAAAATCTATTTTCAATTGATTGAACAGCCTTATATTTATTCCATGTACAAAAGTGTCATCTCTACCCCTCCTTGACTACGGATTCATTGTGCATAGTGAGCAGCTGGTTACATCTGGTATGTATTTCTCCATGCTGTCTAGTTTGAAAAATCTGTAGAAAAACTTAGCACCCCTTCAAGAATAAAAATTCGATTTTGCGACACCCTTAACTATAACTACTTCACTATATTAGATAATTTCGTTAAATACTGTCATCTTTGTTTTACAACACGTTGGTGGTAGTCCATCATTCGGAGGTAGCCCTGAATGCGGTCCTGTACGCCGTCCTTAGCTTTGGCAATCACGCATCCATTCTATCTTGGGTGTAAATACACTATACGTCTAGAGAATATTTTGGTGTGACCTATTAAATGAAGGAAGTCACTGGTAGTGCACATAACTCTTGTTCCGAAATCAAGATTTTCCGTTGCTATAAGTTTAGCGGTTTGCTGAGCGCCCAGAAGTAAACGCCTGTATCTAAAACATTCCTTTCGCTGAGAGCTTGAAGCGTGGACATTTTACACAAATTTTGTCAATGTTGCGGGGTTTTCGAAAAAAGTCGTTATAACCTGAACTTACCTAGTCTTCGGTTGATGTTCTTGTATGTTTGTTTGAAACACAGCAATAGTGCTATCATAGTCGCATATACAGACGTACTTGAAATTGTAATCACAGTGGTTACTTTGAGAGATTGTGTCACCACAGCGATACAGAGACAAACTGAAATCAAATTGGACAATATATTGAAATACTTTGAACTTTGCGTAGGTTAACTTTTTGTTGTTTCATTTTATGACTATCAAAAAATATTTCGGATTTGCCTCCGCATCACTCATCTCCAGAATGCGACAGCACAAGTGCTATCTATTATCAGATTCGACAACATTGAAAGAACAGCAGATGATGTCTATTGGAACTGTAAAGGTAACTCAGTTCACGTCCATAGCTAAACATCAGAGTCATCACAATGATCCCGTGATGCCATTGATTAGTACTTCTAACATCAGTATTGCGTTTGCTTGTACGACCAATAGAGGACTAACCATATACATACAACGCTGTGTTATATATACTTGTTGGCAATCATCAGCACGATCTAGATTTATAGGCAGGACTTCGAACGAAAGGTATACCAAAGTACCCCAGCCCAATGTCTTCAATTATTTATCAGAAATCGTCTACTACGACACATTACTAACGGTTTGCTCGTAGAGTGGTCGATGACTTGACGTTGACTGTATCTGGGATCCGGCCGTGTAAATTCCGTCTATATAGCGTAGCAGAATGAGCGGCATTTGTGCGGCGAGATCTTGGACATGGTCATTGACATGCTGGCGACTGCTGTACGAACAGGGCTTAGACTCTTATAGCCATAATCGATGGCACCACGCGGTCATAGAGATGGTTAGGCTGTCGACGGGAACTGAGATGTCGTTACAGTTCCAATAGGCAGCTACTGTTTACTGTCGTGCTTCGATAGTCCATAATGCCGTTACAAATGGGCGTCAAATTGTCGCGCCGTAAAAAAGGCCCGTTGAGATGTCGATGCACGTCGACAAGTCTTGACTGGCATTTTGAATCACACGGGCATCACCCATAGTGTCGCGCTGCACAACGGGCATTGGAATAAAATCAAATCAAAATTAATTTATTGGTGTGTTTCTGTCATATGATCAACAGAGGTCAGGAATATGTAAGTTTATATAAGTACATATAGAGTATACGTAACAACTCAAATATATATTGAAATTTGAAATAGTTTTGTTGAAATATTCATCCACAGAGTATAGAGGATTTTTTATAAATACGTCTCTAATAAGTTTTTGCTGTATTCATCAGCAGCTTATTTGTATATATTTCTGTCCGATTTATCAAAAGTAGATTCAGTAGAAGCAACAGTTGTGCCAGCCGCAAAAAGCATGTATCTGTAACTTGCGTCCATAGGTGGAAGGTCATTTATATATCAGCAAGAGAATGATACCTAAAACTACCTTTGAGGGACACCATACCTGCTTCCCTCTTTTTGGCTATGATGCCCCAGCAACCATGAACTTTTTTAATCTTGGAGAAACGATTTCAGAAAATGGATGCTGTCCACTGATACTGTATAGTATACTGTACAAGGTTGGTCCTCTGTTAGTCGGACAGACGAAAGCAGTATTCATTTCGATATTCAGTTGTTTAGGAGATACCAAGGCAATTCACTATTTTTGTATTGATACTGAACTGTATCTTACAAACTTACTTATCATGTTGAAAAGCTGTAATCCCATAGGAATAGCCCAAGCTTTGTATCTTATTTTTGCGGATATTATATTCGAATCAAAGTTATAAGCAGAACAAACATCTTCAAGCATGCTGGAAAAACATCTGCTGTTTATTACATTTCTTGCGTAAGTGAGAAACATTGAAAGTCTGAAGATTAATTCTGTTGTGACCGCCGATACCCTGCAATTAAAGAAAATTCATTAATTTCTACTTGTATCATAAAATTTACAGGGTGTATAAAAATGTTGTTTAAGCCAGAGTATCACTACAATACTGCTATATCACAAAATTATGTATACCTAATTTCAACAATCGTGCTTTTTTAGAAGGTCGCCCTACTTCCCTACTTATTTCTCGGAGGGGTCAAGTTAGTAGGCTGAACAGTTAAACATTTCAAGATGGTAGCTGGGCATTATCTTGGAACATTTCTTAAAATAGAATAGAGGTCACAGTTTGAAGCCTCTTTATAAGTACTTCATGGTCCTAATATCTAAATTTATTGCCTTTCAAAATCGCGAACTGACGGGCTGAGTGCTTTTGTACATCACTCGACAACTAATCCTCAAAGCGTTATACTATTTTCATTCAATTTGGAAAAAATGGCAGATTTTAATATTCTTTCAAATGGATTGTTATATACCTATATTTTATTACACATTCGTATAGATCTTTCCGCGAGAAAAATATTGATATAACGCGTTTTGACAACGAGTTGTTGATTATGAGCGATTCAATGTACAAAACGCTCAACTTCAACTGCAGATCCGCTATTTTGAAATATAGTGATTTTCTGTTCTAGAGTTATAATATTACTATTTTAGAAAATATCCCAAGATTGCGACTAGCCGCTATCTTAAGGGTTTCATTAATTCCATCTCCTCAAATTTCAACTTACTAGCTTATTCGCTCAAAACACAAGTACCTGGAGGCGGCCTTGTGAAAAGAACTGTCCTCAAAGTTGGGACCTTACAGAGCGTATAGGCCAGCAATAATTATTTTCTTTAGTAACTCATATGCCAAAGCGTTAATATGACTGAGATATGAGGTTCCGACGTTTCGTAAGTTATATATATATATATACGAGTATATATATACAGGGTTATCCAAATTAAGTGTCCACCATTAGTAACTTTGTTATTAGTGAAAATACAAAGTTGTTTGAATTAGCAAACTAGTAGCATTTTTAACGCTGGTAAAAATGAGAAATAAAAAAACAATTGAGAGTCGTTATTTTGATTTTTTTCAGTAAAATAACATTTTTTTAAATGGAAACCCCTGTATATTATATTTTTTTCTGTTAAAGCATCAAATTTTAAACAAAAAAGCTTACAATAACTTTTCTCCTAGGTTACAAATTGTTGAAGTTATGGCCTCCAATCTGAAACAATTAAATTGTATCGACAAACTTTATTTTCAACACCAACTTATAATCTTACAAAATACAATAACAATTTTTTTTAAAGAAGATGCTCGAAAACACCACCTTGTTCTTCAATACATTTTTGGGCACGTTTTTCAACTGCTCGAACTGTCTTAAGTATGGTCCTACCATCTATCTGGGTTATCTTTTCCCTAACTGCAGTCTTTAACGCGTCAAGGTTATCGTACCTTCGCTTGTAAATTTGGTTCTTTAAGTAACCCCACAAGAAGTAATCAAGTGGGTTTAGATCTGGTGATCTGGGAGGCCACTGTATTGGGCCATTTGTTCCTATCCACTGATCATTAAAAGTAGTACTTAGAAAATGATAAGTACCTCTGGAGTTGTGGGCAGGTGCGCCATCTTGCTGAAAATGCAGATGATGTCTACTTATAAGATCCAATTCGTCTAAGAAATTAGTCAGAATTTCTGACATAAATTCCACATATCTTTCACCAGTTAGGGTTCCTCATAAAAGAACGGGCCAACAATTTTTGAACCAATTATACCGCACCAAACGTTGAAACTGAAACGGACTTGTGGGCCTCTTGGATGTACTAACAAAAGATTTTCTCTTGACCAATAATGGTGGTTTTTTCTATTAAACATTCCAGAATTTGAAAAATTTTATTCATCTGTCCATAAAAGGTAACGAAAGTTATTTACATTTTGGCGACAGAAGCTAAGATACCAATAGCAAAAAACAAGTCTTCTCTCTGGATCCCCTGCCAAAAGCGTTTGAACTGGTCGGTACTTATACGGAATAAATTTGTATTTTTTTAAAATCCTTTGAACAGTACCATAACTGAAATTAGAGTCCTTGAGAATATCTGCTATTGAATTCTCACGATAAGCTTCAAAATATCCAATAACTGCAATTTCCGTGGCCTCGCTTATTATGAATTCTTTTTTTGCCCTTGTTTTAGCAAAAACATTTTCGTTGCCCTAAATTTTCGATAAAGTCTCAGTAAATATCGTTCATACGGTTGAGTGCGAGCGGGATATAATTCACTGTAGTATTCTCTTGCTCTCAAGGAGGATTTTCTGCACACTAAATAGCATTCTAACATATCACACTTTTATTCATGGGAGAACATTTTTCTTTAAATTAATGACACAATAAAGCTTATAAACAAGTATTTACACTAATGTTTGACATTATTTGATTTTATCATTGTTTTCCAAAGCCTTCTAGTTGCGAGTATGTCCAGTTTAACAATTTGTCGCTTATCTTAATGCTGTCAAATCGCGAACGCCATGTTGTTTTCATAGCCGTCTTAATATTATAATACTGCAAATAATTAAAAATATTTATCGTTATTTTGACTTTATTTTTGACTTTAGCGGAAAAGTCATGAACTTTTTTGTTTAAAATTTGATGCTTTAACAGAAAAAAATATAATATACAGGGGTTTCCATTTAAAAAAATCAAAATAACGACTCTCAATTGTTTTTTTTTATTTCTCATTTTTACCAGCGTTAAAAATGCTACTACATAGTTTGCTAATTTAAACAACTTTGTATTTTTACTAATAACAAAGTTACCAATGGTGGACACTTAATTTGGATAACCCTGTATATATATCAGGGTGTCCGCAAAGTTGGGGTTTTCCTTTACACGACGTGTAGATCTTGAAAACATAAGCAATTTTTCTTAGTACCATATACACCAATGTCTTAAGGGAACCGAGATAAAGGGCTCTGCAACATCAAAAATATCTGAATACCGTCCTGTAGCCGCGACATTCCCCAGTGGTACTAGGATACTAGCTCAACCCGACGATATAACTGGGTCGGGGTCTGTGTGTCAGGTCAGTATGCAACCTTCAACCGACGGTTACGGTCACGCATGTAGAGGTAAACGAACCCGTATAATCGATTGCGTTTCAAAAAACAACAAGCATTAGAGACGTGGCTAGAGAAGTGCAAGTATCAAAAACTAATGTGTGGCAAACGCTGCGTGAAGAGCGGCTGTATCCGTTTCACGTCCAACGTGTACAAGCCCTTCAACCTGACGATTTTCCAGCAAGAGTGCGGTTTTGTGAGTGGTTGTTGCATCAACATGACAATAATCCGGACTTTTTGAAGTGCATATTGGTGACAGACGAATCTACGTTCACGCGTAATGGGGTGAATTTCGCAACACTCATGTTTGGTCAGTAGAAACTCCGCACGCTGTCCGTCGGGCACATTTTCAACAAACATTTTCGGTGAATGTTTGGGCTGGCATGGTGAACGGTATGCTCATTGGACGATTTATTCTCCCAAATCGATTGGACGGGATGCAATACCTAGACTTTTTACGCAACATTTTGCCTTCCTTGTTTGCCTGCGTCTGCTCGGTAGCGCATCAGCTGATTTCATTTTCTGTTGGAGCAGTATGATTTCGGGCAGAGACGTACTTAGCCCTTCTCGTCAACTGGAGAGTGAGTACTTTTTCCTTAATTTTTTTTTTACTTGGTCGCCCTCGTTTCACTACACATTACCTTTGTTATTGCAAGGGTAGTTGTATCTGAAAAGGAAAACTCCAACTTGGCGGACACCCTGTATATATACTAAGTGACATATAAATCCGAACACCCAGTTTAAATGGTTTTATTTTAATAAAATTTTGTATAAGTACTTAATGAAGCATAATAAGTAAATGATAAAAATTTCAAAATGATTGCACTGCTTTAAAGCCCTTTGACCTTTAATAATGTGCGGATGCACCCTGATGTGCTACGCATTCTCCAACGCACCTAGGCATGCTTCTGATCAGGTGGTCAATGTCCTCCTGTGGTATCTCATTCCAGGCAACCACCAACTCCTCTCGAAGTGCTTCTAGAGTCTGAGGAGGACGTTGCAAATTGAGCAATCTCCTACCCATCATATCCCACACGTGCTCAATTGGAGATAAGTCGGGAGATCTTGGTGGGCATGGTAACAATGTGACATCATTATGTTGAAAGAAGTCTATTGTGACTCTTGCAACATGTGGTCGGGCATTATCTTGTTGGAAAGTTGGATCTGCCAGGGTGTCAAGATAGGATAAAAGATGGAGTTCTAGAACTTCGTGGATATAACGCTGCGCGTTCATGTTACCTCTGATGAAGATTAAAGGTCACCTGGAACCATAAGCTATAGGACCCCAAACCATAACTCCAACAGTGTCATGAACATGTCTTTCAACAAAAAACTGTGGATTCCTCCTTTCACCACGTCGCCTTCTAACCCTGGCACGACCATTGTGCATGCCTAAACAAAATCGAGACTCGTCACTAAAGACAATAATGTTCCATTCCTAATCCCAGAGTGACCGTTGTCTGCACCACTCAAGGCGATTACGCCGGTGTTCTCGAGTTAAAGGGAGGACCCAGTGTGGCCGGTATGAAAACAAGCCAAAACTTCTCATTCGTCGGTAAACACTTCGCATGCCAATAGGTCTTTCGTGTTCTGCAAACCATTCATTTGCAATGGACCTGGTAGTGGAGAAACGGTCCCTTAAGGCCAATAATCTTAGGCGGCGATCTTCACGGTCTGTTGTTCTACGGCGGCGTCCAGTGCCCCTTGCTCTTTGCGTACGGCCTTCTCGAAGCCATGCCTGACAACACCTAACCACAGTGTCTACACTTCTTTGCACTCTAACTGCAATTGCCCGAAAAGAAAGTCCAGCTTCCCGAAGTCCCACTATACGGCCCCTATCAAACTCACTAAGTTAAGTTGACGAAATCGTACAGGTCTCCGTACTCTAGGCATCGTAACCGATCGTAAAGGATGTCAA